AAAGGGGGGATAAATGATGTAAAAACGTATGGAAGGAGGAAATGAAAGTACTCAAGAAGAATTGACGAAATTAAGATAGAATAACGTAACAGATGAAGTAAAGAACCTGGCTGAGAAAGAATTAAATAAGAGAAGAACAATGAAAGGAGTAGAAGAACTGTTAGGCTAAACAGAGAAGGAAAGAAAAAACTGAGGAATGTGGAAAGGACAAGTGAAGAACTAATAATGGAAATTAAGGGTTGAAAAGCGAGACATGGAAAGAGGAAACGAATAAAATCCAAGCAACAAGGGAACTGAGAAAAAAACTAGGATAGAATGACCTGAAAAAGGAAGGAACAATCTGAGGAAAGGAAAGCGTGGATGAACGGCGAAAATAAAGGTGAAAAGAATGGACTATTGAGAGAAAGGATTTGGAACCGAAGGGGAAAGTGGTGATTGTGTGGGGGAATTGTGGAAACAAAGGGGGAGAGAAGGAACGAACTGAGAACTGAAAAATAGTGAAGAACCATAAATGGAAGGAGATAAGCTAGGAAGGTAGAAATGCGTCAAACATGGAAGTAATGAAGGAAGGTAAAAATCATGACAAAAATAAGCAGAGGGGAAAGGGTGGACCAAGGACAAATCGAGGAAAGGAATTAAATGAATAAATAAGAGTAAAGGATATAGTTCATTGAAAAATAAATGAGCTGAAATATTGCGAAACTAAGGATGGGAGGAAAGAATGACCTGAAAACTGAGTTGTTGTTTTTTCATCGTCATCTGAGGTTAACAGAACTTAAACAGCAGAGTAGGCAAGGTTCACTATATTTAAACGTTGGATCGTTCTCTGACATGGCAAAGGTCATATTGATTGTAGCCAGCAGGTCTGACAGAACGATCTGTTTCCATGTATTGAACTGTCCTGCTACAGGTCTGCAATTAGTGCACAGTTCCTGAGCAAGAAAGGTTTTGAATATATTTCCATTCTCTTTTTGGGTCGTTTCATCAAATCAAGCGAGGCGCCATTATCCGCATTCACCTGATGAAATGAGATGTAACATGGAGCGGAAGAACTGAGGAATTAAGAGTGAAATGAAAGAAGGTAAAAAGGAATCAAGCTAACCCAAAAAGGTAGAGACGATTTAAATGTGGAAGAAAGTAAGCAGTACATGAACTGAAAATCTTAAGATTTAAGCAACTAGCGAGAAACATTGTCACACGTAGTTTGATTTGCATTTTAGAAGCACGGGGTTCAAATCCTAGTGGAGCGTGAAATTTTTCTGAAGAATTTTCCTTTACTATAGAAAAGTTGAGGAATACATCGAGCTTCGCTTCGGAGCATCTGATCAAGCAACAGACAATAAGTGTACATAGGCAGTTTTGGTGTGGTCATATAAGAACCTGAGAGACATACGGCTATCCCGCCGAAATTCTCCTTCAGCCATTTTAGAGATGACTAAAATTCAGCAAAATGTGTAAACCACAACTTTTACATTAAAAAACTGATATAAAAAACTGATATAAAACAAGCATGGGACCTGTCTCTGACGACAAGTTCGATGCGCTTTGAATCAGCCCTTTTCAGAGTTTGCATGGCCTTCTCGCCCGACCACCCGGACACGGTTTTGCCATTGATCAGTAGTATCTGGTCGCCGAAACGTAGCCCGGCCAAAGCAGCGGGCGACCCTTGCTTTACGAACTGAACGAAAACACCCTGAAGAAGAAAAAACATCATGTTTTTTATTACAGCAGACAGAATTCTGTCTTGACTGTAAACCCAGTATCTCACTCACGTTGTTAACGTGGTGAAGGCGTACACCGATCTCGTTTTTGCCATCTTTACAGCAAACGATCTGACGCACCGCGTTCGTCACCACAGCTCGTCGGAAGCCGACGCTCAACCCGGTTACCGGAGCGACCAGTTGTTTTCCGAGGGTCGATACGGTGGTCAAAGCGGTCGACTGACCGACGCTTGCACTGGCGTCACCTTCGACACTTGGCGGTTGCAGCTTAAGGTCCATGTACTCGCTGGTCAGCGAAGGATATACGGCCATTATGGTCGAAATCCGTTTTGCAGTCAATCCTGAGGAGGAAAGACCAGACGGCATGAGAGCGGG